TTTTTTTTTTTTTTTTTTGCAGAGATGGGGTCTTGCTATCATTACCCAGGCTGGTCTTAAACTCCTGGCCTCAACCAATCCTCCTGCCTTGTTCTCCCAAAGTGCTGGGATTGCAGGGATTGCAGGTATGAGCCACTGCACCTGGCAATTTCTAGCTCTTGCCTCCAAGTTTTGAAAAAATCTTAAAAGACTGAGCATCGGGAAGGGCTGGGTCTGAAGCAGACATTCAGATGAAACGACTGGTCACTGGGCCCTGGCTCGGGTGTTCTCTGAGCTCATTTCCAGGCACAGAACTTCAGGTCTGCAACAGGTGTGCAGGGGCGTCAGGTTCAGCCTTCTAGTTTGGGAGGAGACAGAGAATAAAGTGACCTGTCCATGAGATCAGAAGTCTGTGGTGTGGGCAGGAAGCGGATCTTCCTCTCCCACCTCTTCCACCAATATTTTACCATGAAAAACTTTCAAACACAGAGAAATTGAAAGCATTGTGCAGTGAAATCCATCAGGGTGGTTGATCTGCAGCCCATGGGCTGCATGTGGATTATGTGAGGATTTTTTTGCTTATCCGTGGCATAGATCTGTCGGATATCATGAAAATTATGCACAGAACTTTGTTTTTTTGCTCATCAGCTTTTGTTAGTGGTTGTGTGGTCCAAGACAACTCTTTTTCTTCCAACATGATACACAGAAGCCCAAAGATCGGACACCCCTGATAGATTATACAATTAGAGTCTCACTATACATTTTGTCACATCTTCTCTTCTCTTTTCTTTTGGTGCATTTCAAAATCGCAGAAATCAGTACACTTCCTCCCAAACACTTCAAAATGCATTAGCTAGTGTGACATACTTGCTTATAGTTCTTTTTTTTCTTGTGAAACAAAATTTGCTTATAATTCAATGCAAAAAACTTAAGCATACTACCTCATGATTCCCAAAATGCACACACCTAAACCCTTATCAAGACATAAAACATTATTTTCACCTGGGGAAATTCCCTCGTTCTCATTCCCACCTTCTCCCTGTCCTAGAAGGAACCATCGTCCTTTTCCTACCGTAGTTTGGTTCTACCATATCTAGGACTTCACTAAAACCACACACTTCATCTTTTGTGCAAGTTTTCTTTCACTCAGCATAAAATCTTTGGAGATTCATCTATATTGTTTTATTTATCAATAGCTTGTTTCTTTTTATTGCTGAGTAGTATTCTACTGGATGTACAAATATATCAGTTTGTCTGTCATTCTCCTGTGGATGGGCACTTGAACCATTTTTTTCTTTCTTTCTTTTTTTGAGACAGAGTCTCACTTTGTCTCCCTGGAGTGCCACAGCGTCACAGCTCACAGTAACCTCAAACTCTTGGGCTCAAGCAATTCTCTTGCCTCAGCCTCCCAAGCAGCTGGGTCTACAGGGCACTTGAACTATTATATTTCCTTCTCTGGGCTACAGTGAATGAAGCTGCTATGAATATCGTTGCACTGGTCTTTTTGTTGATATATATCTTCATTTGCCCTAAATAAAAATATGTAGGCATGGGATTTCTAGGTTCTAGGGTAACTTCGCTGAGTTCTAGTTTAGTTTAGTTTTATAAGAAATAGTCAAAACATTTTCCAGAGTGGGTTTCCTATCTTACAGCTCAACAACTGCAACAAGAGTTCCAGGCATTTCACGTTTTGGCCAACATATGATATTTGGTCTTTTAAATTTTAGCCATTCTGGTGTGCAAGTGGTGGTTTACTGTGATGTTAATTGTTTCCATTTCCAAGACACTGACATTAAGTAGCTTCTTCATGTACAATTGGCTGCGTATATATCTTTGTGGAGTATTTATTTGTTCAAATCTTTTGCCCAGTTTTTTTTTTTTGCTTTTATTATTGCATTGTAGGAGTTCTTCATATACTAGATCCCAGCTCCTTTTCAGATACATGTTCTGCAAATATTTTCTCAATGGCTTGCCTATTTATTTTCTAAATGGTGTCTTTTAATGTACAAAAGTTTTAAATTTGGAGTCTAATTTATCATTTAAAAATTTTATGAGCATTGCTAACCTTCACCTACTTCTAAGTGGCAAAGATAATTCTATGTCTTTCCCCTAAAACCTGTGTAATTTTAGCTTTTCTATGTAGGCATATGATGCATGTCAAATCAATTTTTGTATATAGTGTGAGGCAGGGGTCAAAGTTCATTGTTTTTTAGTTGTTTCAGCACCATTTGTTGAAAAGACTTTCCTTTCCCTACCTGATTTGTTTTGGCACCTTTGTTGAAAATCAAATAACTGTATAAACCCCATTGATCCATTTGTTGATCTGAATACCACGCAGACTCAGACTCCAGTCCTTTGGAGGCAGCCTGAGAGTCACTCAGAAAAACTGGTTGCTCTGTTTATGGGTACATGTAGCTAGTCCCTGCAAAGCAAAGGGTAAATTCCTACAGACGAAAACCCACGTCTTCCATCTCAGCACATTCCCCACAGTGCCAGCCCCAGAGTAGAGGTCCGAATAATTACTAAATAAACAAAGATTAAAGGCAAGTCACACGTGACACCATAGCAACTATTGAACCATAATTAAGGCAAAGGGGCATTTTAATATAATGGAGAAAAATGGAGGGATAAATTATTGTTTTATGTCCTTTCCAAAGATTTTATTATATTTTGGTACAGACCTCTTTCGGTGCTAATGGCACAAGCAGTAAAAAAAATATTAACTAGGAAAATAGAAAAGAATGTGCAGTGGAGCACACTGTTAGTAGTTTTTCATGTACAATTAGTAGAGCTAATTCTACTTTTTTTTTTTAAGAGATAGAGTCTCACTTTATTGCCCTCTGTAGAGTACTGTAGTGTCACAGCTCACAGCAACCTCCAGCTCGTGGGCTTAGGTGATTCTCTTGCCTCAGCCTCCCAGTTAGCTGCGACTACAGGCCCCTGCCACAATGCCAGCTATTTTTTTGTTGCAGTTTGGCTGGGACCAGGTTGGAACCCACCACCCTCAGTATATGGGGCCAGTGCCTTACTCACTGAGCCATAGGCACTGCCAATTCTGCTACTTTTCTAAAAAGGTGAGGAAAGGTTTAGGAGGCTTTTATTTACTAACATTCATTTTAATTACCATGTATACTATTCTGTCTGTAGCTCTCTACATTTAACTTGTGATGAATCACTTTTGATGCCTCCTTTTTGTTGCATTCTATGTGATGACGCTTTTAAAAACTCAAGCAATGGACTGGAAGCCATCTCTCTTTGTCATATGAAAAGCAGGCTGCCTCATTGCCCTGCTACTATTTCTTAAAGTGGGTGATGACATAGATTTATACTATTCTTATACACACACACACACACACACACACACAGCTGAGTAGTTGACAGTACAGTCTACTGGTTGACCATACATACCGTTTTGACCATTTTGAGCTTTGATCTAATCGGAACTCTGCCAGTATTTAAGCTTTTGCCATTTTTGTCTCCTATGAAATTTTCATCCCAAGAAAGGCAGGATTACACCCTTTCCTAACAGATTGTGCAATGTATTCTTAGTTATCAAAATACGCATAGAGCTTTGGGACTTTGGATTGGTAAATACTCACGATGTGTGAAAAAGCATGATGCATAATGTCCCATCTCAATCCCATAAAATCAGATGTTGTATATATACCCTTCGGATCTAGAAGGACGTGTCACACTATAAACTGCTTGCCACTGGGGATAACTTTGTTCTTTGCTTCTTGTGTTTTTCAGTTTCTTATGTAGCATATATTAACTTTTAAAAAGAAGGTTATTGTAAAAACCTGGGAAAAAAATTAGGACATTAGTTAATCAAGCACATGTCCTATCTGTGATCAGATTTATTGTTGGGGCTTATTAAGTGATATTTTGTTTGATTAGGTAGATAGTCTAAATTTCTGACCATTTTCATTAGCCTTCTTGAGCGGAGAATGTTTGGTGTTAGTGTTCTAGTTCTATTTCTTCATTATAAAGTACTTATTCTTTTTTCACAGCTGTTTTTCCCTTATATGTCATGGGCAAAGCCAGCTAGTAGTCAAGGAATGCTTCTTCTTTCACCCAAGTCTTAGCACCAACATCATTTTTGTAGTGGCATTTACTTTTTTTTTTTTTTTTTGTAACAGACTTTAATTTACTGCAGAGCCAAGCATAATACACTCTAGGTAGTTTATAGGCCACAAGGTCTTTCAGAAAAATACAATAGACCCGGTTTCCACTAAATATGGGCTTTGTACTTTCTTAGTTTCCTCTAAGTCATTAACCTTTTCACCTATAATCATCTTAGTGATAGGACTTAGGCGACTATTATGTAATTGATCATTAGCAAAATAGCCGTGGTAGCAAAAAAGAAAGTTTTCTTTTGAGACATGGATGAACATTTAACCTCTAGGTTGATATTTCAATTCTTAGTTGATTAGTAAATGACTCAAGTTAATTCTACCTTAAACTTTTAAAATAAGTGACATAGATTATACTTATTTAAGAGTCTTCAAGTAGTGAAAAATTGTTGGTGATAATCACATTTTACTATATTCAACCAGGATGTTGATATTATATTATATTATTGTTGTATTTGATTTAGCCAGGAGAATGTCCTTATTATTTGGAGGTAGATGGCTAAAGTATTTAGGGGTGGGGTATCATGATGTGTGTGATTTAGAAAATTATCTATCATCCATTTAATATATAAACAAATATGACAAAATGTTAATTGTTGAGTTGATCTCACACATATATATGGGTATTTGTCATACTATTCTTCTTTTCTGTATGTTTAGAGTTTACATACTAAACAGTCCACAGATCTATTGACAGTCTGATAAGCCAAATCTTCTGACATAATTGTCATGTTGTGCTTTCTGGGCTTTTGACTTTTTTTCCCACATATAACATCAAGGATATTACACTGTGTGTGTTTTTAGGGCCCTCTTCTAAGTAGAAAGTCTGAATTCTTGCAATTTGAGAACTTTGTGCTAGCTGGGAGGGTGAATTTCAGAAAGGCTGTAAAGTTAGTTAAACTCACCAGTTTTTGTCTGAATAATTCATTCAAATGAGGTCAATGACAACATGCCAAGACCAGAAAGTGTCGACCTGCCTTAAGAAGGACATATAGATTCATTAACCATTTCTCATTTCCGTTCAGATATGTAGAAAGTAGGCCAGAGTGGCTGCTGACACAAGGGAATCGTTCATTTTAGAAAGACAACCTTCCTTGGGATAGAGGTGAATGGTACAAGAAAAGGTGTCTCAAAAAGCAGAGAGAAAGAAGCCAGGGAACTGAAGAAAGTATGGGGCAGCCAGCTTCTCTTGCTTTTTAAAGGGAAATGAAGTAGCGTGTACTCACTTCTCCTCAATCATCTGCTTTTGGTATTCTTCATACTCCTCTCTAGTCATCCCTTGGGCTGTGGCAGGATCAGATGGATTCCCTTCTTCTTTTTTTTCTTCAGACCCACCACCAAATCCTAAATTCTTTATCTGGTTACTGATCATGCTTTTCATGAAGAAAGCCATTGTCTCTGCCCCAGAAAAATAAAACCGAAACTCAGACAAAACCTCTAAAAAAACAAAACAAAGACAAAACACACTGAAGAGAAAAACCTCTAAATATTCTCAACGACAGCAGTATGAGAGCAAATGACTTTGCACGGCCTCATCTATTCAAGGGCATTATCATAGAGAAGAGGGGTTTGCCGTCCGTAAGCTGGATTAAAGTGAACTCCTTACTATACAGAGGCAGATGGTTCAGATTACTAAAGCGCGCAATCAGAGGCAACCAACTACCTTCTGAATTAATATACTCAGCTAATTTCACAGGGGCAAAAAACCCCTCACATTATCTATCCCTCTCTCCCTACCCATTTCTAAATTTGTAATTATAAGCACAGCAGGACTGCAGGAGTCCTGTTTCAATTAAATTAATTAGAGCTGACTGATTATATGGCTGCAGTGGAATTTCCAAATTCCAGCCCTGGAGCACGACATCCTGTTGAAAAACTGAGTCCAGTGAGACTCAAAACCCAGAATGCTTCATTAAGCAAAAATAATCCTTTTGATCCATCATTTTATCTCACTGGACTCTAAGTACTATGCAAGGATTTCCTTTTTAGTTTGCTTGAATTGTGTACTGCCTCGATGGTGACTGTGTGTACCCCTTACGTAAATACACCATCAAGGCAGGCCCCCCCACCCCCAGCGAGTGGGCCTTTGATTTACATCTGGAAGATTCTCTCAGCATTTTCCTGCCTGGAAATGTTACTCATCTGCATGGAAATGACGTGCTTGATACTTCCAAGGCTCTGATCCAGAAGGTAAGACCTGTTTGAGTCAAATCATCCATAGGTACAGTCCTCCTGGGTGCTGTAGTTAAGTTGGCTGGTACTGGATGAAACTGACACTGTTTTCTAACAAAGCACACTCTACAGCTGTGTGCTTCCTCAGGTCAAGGGAAGAACTGAGTAACGCTAAGACTTTAATCTATGCTAGTGTTGTTCTAAATAAAGCACTCCAAGAGGAGGTGGGGGGGAGGGAAGAGATGTAATCCAGTTGTAATGATGCTTGTTATTTTATCAGAAAGCGGAAGCCCTTGCAGCAAATGATTATCCTCACACTGTATAGCACGTGCCCCCAAATCGCCATATACAGGAGAAAATGGTAAATTGCGGCTAAAGGTACCTGTAAAAATTTTTTTTATAAAATATTCATTACAAAATTATGCAAAATATTTACCAAATGTTCTCTACAGCTCAGCCACTTCTTTGTAAATTTTGTAATGAATAGTTTGTAAATAAAGGTACATTTAGCTATCATTCTCATTTTCCCTGTATCTGGCAACTTTGGGGACACTTAGTATAATCTGGATTTTTGCCTAAAATGGTTGCTTTATACCTTTTAAGTTCTGTTTTCTCTTTCATTAATCTATTTTTAAACGCTGCTAAAGTGGCCTCAATGTGAAAGACTAATAAAGATAACAGGGTGAAATGTAAACTTAGAAATGAAATGTTAATAGACATTAACACTTAGCTCCATGTTCACTCTCAGATGGGTTGCTTGCAGCTTAACACAGTCAAACCCTTATCTCTAAATTACCATGTGCAATAAACTATATTTCATCTCCATTGGGAGTGTTACTAATTATGGTCTCACAGAACTTTTCAGACCATAAAATAAAAGCCATAGCCTTGTGTTTCTATTGTTTCTTTGTTTGCCAGTTGAACACACAGAAATTCTCCTTTGGAAAGACTGAACATGTGTTTCATGACATTAAAAAAAAAAAAGCCCTTATTTCCCAAATAAAAGAACAACCTTAAGTTCTGTATTATATTATAGTTTGGGTCAGAATGTGAAATTCCTAAAGTTATACCTACAGCCAACTTGGATTTGATAAAATCTATTATGAAATTCCATTTTATTAAGAATTAGGGAATATTATTAGTAGCAGTTCTAAACTCCAAAGCCAGTTGGGTAACCAGTTGCTCTGTGTCAAGTCATTTTCTATATTTATTAAGCATTGTAGGGACTCTTAGCGGCACCACTGTGGCAACTGAATACTCCTGATATTGCTTTGTTTTATAAAATAAAATCTCTTCTTGTCACCCCAATAGATAATTCCACTGAGAATCGGGTCATGTATTAAAAAACTTTTTACGTAACTTATTATAGTGGCCTTTCCACTTGGGCACCCAGTGACTATTTGCTGCTGTATGCAGAATCTTGTAGAAATAGTTGTAGAATCTTCTATTCCTTCAAAAAGGGGGAATAAATACCCCAGGGTACCAGAAGTGGGACCACTAAGTATTACCCTTCCAATGGCTTCTTACCTTACTTACATGAAACTCCCGCTCCTTCCTGCAGCCTGCAAGGCCTTGCATGATTTGGCCCTTGCCTACCTTCCAACCTCACCTACCCTATCCCCTTTGCTCATTCTACTCCAATCACATTCTACTCCAATCTCATTGTCCCTCAGACCAAGCTGGTTCCCACCTTGGGCCTGGTAAAAACTCCTGGCCTGGCCTGTTTCCCTTCCACATTTCACGAGGCTCACCCTCATTTAGTTTAGGCCTCTCTTCAAATTCACCACCTCAGAGGAATTCCTGACCATCCTAAAATGGCTTATTTTCACACCCCCCTGCACTTTTTATCCTTCTATCTCACCCTCTACTTCTTCATAGAACTTATCATTACCTTAAAATATATTTTCATGATTTCGTTGTTTACATTCCTTCTACTCCACTGGAATACGAGGTCCATGAGCGCGGCCAGGGCACCTTTGTATGCTCATTGCCAAGAATCTTGCCTGGCACATAGTGGTTGACGAGAATTTCAAAAACAAAATTAATGAATGATTGCCACCACATATAATGGCTTTTTCATTTTTTTTTAGACAGAGTCTCATTTTGTCACCCTTGGTGAAGTGTCATGGCGTCATAGCTCACAGCAACCTCAAACTCTTGGGCTCAGGCAATCCTCTTGCCTTAGTCTCCCAAGTAGCTAAGACTATAGGTGCCTGCCACAATGCCTGGCTATTTTTAGAGATGGGGTCTTATTCTTGCTCAGGTTGATCTCGAGTTCCTGAGTTCAAGCAATCCAGCTGCCTCAGTTGGGATTACAGGCAGCAATTTGCCTTTAGTAGAGGAAGTCAAGATACTATGTGGGTGAGTCGGGGCACTTGCAAGGCCATCTTCAGGCAGAAGTATAATCTTAGTGCTTTACGAATCAAAGCCATAGTGGTTGTGCCTTCTTTGCTACTTCTTAGGAACAAGAACTTGCTATAGTTTAAAAAAAAAATCATGTCTCATTCTGATTTAATGGATCATCTTTGTAAACAGTGATTGGTTGTGACCTACTTGAAATGTTTGATGGCAACTTACCCAAAGAATTTACTAAAGAAACACTAATCCTATTAGTGGAATTATATTTTAAGAAAATATCACATTCAAACTGCATAAATCCATTTAGGTCCTTCACCTGAGGTTTTTTTTTTTGAGACAGAGTCTCACTCTGTTGCCCCAGGCTAGTGTTGTGGTGTCATAGCTCACAGCAACTTCAAACTCAGGGATCAAGGGATCCTCTTGCCTCAGTCTTCCAAATAGCTAGGACCATAGGCACCCACCATAGCACCTGGCTAGTTTTTCTATATTTTTAGTAGAGACAGAGTCTTGGTCTTGCTCAGGATGGTCTTGAACTTGTGAGCTCAAGCAATCCATCCGCCTCGGCATCTCAGAGTGATAGGATTGCAGGTGTGAGACACTGCACCCAGCCTGATTTTTCTTTTCATATTAAATGCTTAGTTTTACTCCTGTAATTAAGGTTGGTTAGTGATAAACTTCCTCATGGAAATCATGGCTATTAGTTCATCCTGTCTCAGTTGATATTATCCTCTTAGCAGATGGCACAACAGCATTTCGGGGGTAAGCCACACAGCTAAACCTCAGCATTCATGAAGGTCAGCAGAACGGGCAGAAAAAAAAAAAAAGGTCACCAAGTACTAAGTGCAGAGATAACTTAAAGATGAGATTCACTGGGAAGGACTTTCAACCTCTATTCTAACTGGAAAAGCATTCATGTAAAATGAAGAAAAAGTCTAGAGAAATATTGTAAGATATTGTATTTTGCTGTGTGAAATGTGCTCCCATGTATAATGCACACACATGTGTTGGGCCCAAACTTTCAGGAATATGCCCTCCAGAAAGTGGCTGACTCTTGGGCAGGAGAGACACATCTGGGGAACGCTAATGCTGCCCCAATAAATGTGCAAAATGCACAGTGCTCTGTAGAGGCTGCCCCTTCCCTTTCTTGGAAGCCCTTCCCTCTCCACCACAATAGGGGCTTCCACAGAGATGGCCATGTGTGTGGCCAGCAGGGAAGTTTCTGAGGCCACTCAGCCTACAGGCAGCCAGATAGGTCCCTGGGACCTGCACAGGGCTCCTGGTCCCCTCTGGGTAGCGACGGCCTGCCTTGCCAGCCCTGCCACTGCCCCCTCCCTGATCTTGGTGCTCTAGCCCACTCCCACCATATCCCAGATCATCCCAAACTGGAACTCTGTGTGCCTGGTGGGCCTAGCTGCGAGGGTGAGGTGGCTCTGTGAAGCCCACTGGGCTCTCCTACTCACCAGCTGCACTACCCATGTATAAGGCACATTCTTATTTTTCCCTCAAAAATTTGGGCAAAAAGTATGCATTCTACATGGCAAAATACAGTAGAAGGAGCATTATGGAAACCACAAAGCAAATTAAATACATAGTCCTAAACATAATAACTGCCTACTGGAGACAATTTAGTGGCGCAGGTTTTACCTAACAAAGTGTCTTATACATTATAGACACTCGATACATATTAAACTGTGCTGAAATGCCAGGCCTAATAGCATGGTGCTTTTCATTTCTTTAGGTTGGCTAATATTTTTGTAGACACAAACCCAAGGTTATATACCAGCTGTGCAAAGAGATTTCCCAATCACAACAGTAAGACGTTCACTGACCTATACAGGACTGAGGGTCCTCCTCATTATTACCGTGGGGTTATGTGACCATTTGTTAGGTTATGAGACCATTTGTGACTCTGGATTTCCAACACGTCTCAACTCTTTTTCTCCCAAAGTGACCATTTCGGGAAATGCATCCCAGGTTGATTCTTCCACCTTCTACTAAGAGTCAATAATGTTACACCTGACGATACTTCAAAATCCCTCTGGTATTTCTTTAGCCAACACTTTGTGACTGATCTATTTCAGGTTAGAGACATCGATTCTTGGTGAGGTAATATAACTAAATTCTATTCTGTATCCTCTCTATTACAGAACCTCCATGCTGGTACACAGTACTGAGTTGGTACAAAATTCACTGGTTCCAGTGGTTGTTATTCTCTAACAAGACATGCTGGCCTCCATGACCTGTTTGTAGATCTCCATGTTGGTTCTACATGGAAGGGGAAGATTGGCTGGGAACTAAAGATTAATTTCCTAACTTATTTTATTTTATATATATGTATACATACATACATACACACATATATACATATGCACATGTATATATATACACATGGTTCTGTTTCTCTGAAGACGGTTCCTGGAAGTCTTCATTGCTTCTGTGGCAACAGTGGTCATGAGAGTGCCCAGTCCAGACGGCAGAGGGGCTGAGGGTCTGGCAGGAGAGCACCACCATTGCCTAAGAGTAGTGGTGAGGCCTGTATGTGCTGGAATGGGGTAGAAGTGATGCCGCTGCTAGGCTGTGGTTGAAATGGAAGAATCCAGAAGAATGAGCAGTGACGGCCAACAAAGGAGACAAACACAGCAGAGTAGCGGTGCCCAGTGGTCATAAAAGGGGTTCAGAGGAAAAGAGTGAGCAAATGCCACGCAGTAGCTGACCAGGTGTTGTCTGAACTTATTTGTGAGCATCTTAGAAACGTAATGGAACTCTCAACACTGCTTAGGACCGTTGCCTTATAACTCACAGGCAGTTAAGAGAAAGAGCCAAAAAGCCTGGGATCCAGTGTTGCGGGATATATTCAGTTGTCTCTTCAGATTTTCAGACCTGTAGAGTAACAGTGATCTTTACTGGGCACCAGCATCTTGTTTCTGGCTCTTTTCGTGTACTCTGTACATTTATTTCACATATCATATTTTAAAGATAAAAACTGAGGTTATGATCTGTCCTGACTCCAACCCTCGATTATTTCCTGGTCATTTTTGACTTAGATAATTATGTCCAAAATCTATGTCCCATATATGGAACTCAATCTCCCTTTCCCTCACCTCCAGCTCCCATTCTCTTTCTTGTGTTCTCTATTTTTATTTTATACTATGTTCCATTCAATTCCCTGAGCCAGAAGCAGAATAATATCCCACGTTATTCCTTCCCATTCAGTCCCACACCAAATCACCATTAGGTGTTTACTATGTTGAAACCCCAACGTGCCCTGATGGTGTTAGGAGGGGGGGCCTTTGGAGGTGATTGGATCATGAGAGTGAAACCCTCATGAGTGGGATTCATCCTTTATGAAAGAGGCCCACAGATCGTCTCTTACCTCTCTGCCTAGGGAGGTTATAGTGAAAAGATCGCCATCTAAGAATCTAAGAAGCAGGCCCTCACCAGACACCAGTGCCTTTACCATGGACTTCTTAGCCTTCCAGAACTGTGAGAAACTTTTGTTTATAAACCATGTCATCTATGGTGTTCTGCTATAGCAGCCCAAACAGACTGAGACAATGCTACTCTAATAGTAGATGAGAAAATATTTGCTGGGCGGTGCCTGTGGCTCAAAGGAGTAGGGCGCTGGCCCCACGTACTGGAGGTGGCCGGTTTAAACCCAGCCCCCGGCAAAAAAATGCAAAAAAGAAAAATCTGCTATTTTTATAATTTTCTACTTTTCTATTTTCACTGTCTGGTTCTTCCTTCAGGTCACCATTTTCCACTGGAAGGAGCACTGTAACTTGTCTGTCTCAAGTCCAGTCTTCCCCCAATCCAATCTCCATGAAGCAGAGATTGCAGTCTTCAAAATGCAAATGTTCCCCTCTGCTGAAAACTTTCATGATCTCTCACAGCCCTTTGGATGAAGCCCAAGCTCCTAAGCCCATGCAGCCATGGGAGCTGGCCTCTGTATATTCAGTCCAACCATCATTCTCTCCTTTATACTCCAGCGTAACAGATTTAAAAATTGTCAACTAACCTACACCGTTTCTCAACTCCGTGCTTTTGTTGATGTTATTTCGTCTGTCTGGAATAATCCTTTCAGTCCATCATATTTGCATGGCAAATCAGAGCCTACGCTCACTGTCAGCACCTGGTTCATACAATTCCTTCAATTCCCACTCACCTCCCCACTCTACTCGAATTTAGACACAAGATTCTTCAAATATGAGTATTTGTGCATCAATTCTGAAAAATTTCTTTTTTTTTTTTTTTTGAGACAGAGCCTCAAGCTGTCCCCCTGGGTAGAGTGCCGTGGCATTACAGCTCACAGCAACCTCCAACTCCTGAGCTCAAGCGAGTCTCCTGCCTCCGCCTCCCAAGTAGCTGGGACCACAGGTGCCTGTCACAACGCCTGGCTATTTTTTGGTTGCAGCCGTCATTGTTGTTTGGCGGGTCCGGGCTGGGGATTCGAACCCGCCACCTTAGGTGTACGTGGCTGGCGCCTTAGCAGGTTGAGCTATAGGTGCCGAGCCAATTCTGAAAAATTTCCATGTTACACTTTCAAACAGTTACTCATCACGATGCTCCCTATTCCTTCTAGAATTCCTGTTATATGTACATCATACCTTCTGATTGCCAATTCATTACGTCTTCTACCATTTTAATATCTGGGCTGTACTTATGGTAATAGTCCCAGTTCTATCTTCTAACTGAGTAACTTTTCCAGCCATGTCCAATCTTAATCCCTTCCCTCGTATTTATGTTGCCTAGAGGTGGTTCTCTGAAATCCCAGCTGTTCAGTTTTTCAGTATTCCATTCCTTCCTCATTGTTTCTAGTATTTTATAAACTCTTCAGTATTTTTAGTTGTTTTATGTGTACATACCTGTCTTTTCGAGACTGTTCTATTCTCTCAGATTCCTGGAGGTGCCAAGTTTACTATTTTATTGGGTCTCTTTTATATTTTTCAGGTTTGGTTTATAACTTTTAAGGCTCATTTCAGTTAGGACTGACTGTTCTGTGGCTAATATACTTTTGTTGTGCAATTATTTCTAATGAGCGGTTTGGTTTTGCCTTTTTTCTGGATTTTACCAGACAAGAACTGATCACATTGATTTTGGCTTGGAGAATTCCACACCGTGCAGGTAAAGCATAAGCTTGGGGCTTCGGTTTCTTACAGAAAATGTATCCCCCTGCCCAGAGGCCCAGGGAGAAGCTTCCCTTTCTTTCTCTGATTTGGTGCAGTATGCTTAACAGGTCCTTTCAACCCATTTCCTCTGAAGGAGCAGCCCTTCTAGGGTTCCTGCTTTATCCCAGCGGCTCAGTTCAGGCACTCTAGGTTTTCCCAGTTCAAAGCCTCACCCTTAGTGCCCCAAAGGAACATGAAAACTTCCAGCAATAGTGCCTAAGCAGGGCCTATAGTTTCTGCTATTTCCTGCCACCAGTAGGCTCCCTGTTCAGTGTTCCAACTGTTTCCTTTCAAACTATCTATGTACTTATATTTTTTATTTTGTCCAGTATTTCTGTGTTTACCAATTTAATCTACTCTTCTTTAGAACCTCTTTCTAAGGACTCTCTTTTACAAGGCTGTGAGGTAAGTATTATGAGGAAACTGAAGGTCGCCTCTACTAAGTGGTAGAGCCAAGATTCAAACCCAGATGTGTCTGACTCCAAAGCCCTAGTCTTTTCTTTTTATACCACATTAACTTTTAGAATTAGAATTACTTGGTTAAGCAGTAATTGCCAAAAAGATTGAGAGATTTTTTTTAAACTGCCAGTAATTAGTAATGACTAAGAGTTACAGCTTAACTACACGTTAGCCAGTATTTGGTTATTAAAGGTGAAAACAAAATATACTGTTTTAATTAATTTGTATTTTTCATTACCAGCAAGGGTAAACATTTATCCGTTATCATTTCTGTATGTCTTATTATGCTTCCGGGTACTTACTGTAGGAGGTAGGCAGCGTAGCGTGGACTCTAATAAACAAAATACTATCAGTGCCTACTTGAAAAAAAGCTACTTATTACCTAAGACCAATGAAGGAAAAAGAAAATTTACTAAAATATTTCTTTATTTGAAGAAGGTCAATGTCATTTCTTGAATTCCAGCTAGCATCAAAAAACAATCAGAAAAGAAACTTGACAGAATGTTATCCAATTGAAATTGACAGTGGATAGAAAACCCTCTTAAACTTTAATATCATAAAAGAAATATATTATACAGGCAATGTATAGATTTAAAAAGTTCAAGTGTGGATTTACACTAGATCTCATAAATTAAAAAATTTTCAATATAACCATTTCTTTACTATAGCTTTTCAATAACCACATGGACAGGGAAAGATAGTCACATCTTATTTTTTTGAGACAGGGTCTTGCTCTGTCACCCAGGCTGGAATATAGTGGCACCATCATAACTCATTGTAACCTCAAAGTCCTGGGCTCAAGTCATCCTCTTGCCTCAACCTCCTGAGAAGCTGGGACGACAGATGTGTGCCACAAGACCTGGATAATTTTTCTCATTTTTTGTAGAGATGGGGACTTGCCTAGGCTGGTGTCAAACTCTTGGCCCCAGTCAGTCCTCCCTTCTTGACCTCCCAAAGTGCCGGGATTACAGGCATAAGCCACTTTGCCCAGCCCATATCTTAATATTCAGAACTGTTTTATGTTCTGTACAAAAATTCTATCTCTGCAATGCAGCAGCACAGGCAATTCCTTGTTCAAGTCACTTGTTTTCCCCAAGTACAACTGTCAAAAAGTACAATTGTCTGAGATAAAATGTCACAATAATCACAATCAGGAAAGCAAGAAGACAGCAGGCTTCAAGATGAGAGTTTTCATGGCTTGACCATGAACTGAAGATGATTTTGTAAGTTTAAATGCCATCACCAAAGTACCAAGAGCTATAGGCAGAAATCTGAATTTAGTTTATAGTTGCTCATGAACCAAGAGATTTTTAGTAAAAGGAACATAAAGTAAATTTTAAGTATAAAAGAATCAGTGCGCATTTGCTAATGACATTGACAATAAAAAGATTGTGCTCTTGGCTCAGCTTTAAACCAACAAAACATCTATTTTTTTTTTTTTTTTTTTACCCACTCCTCATCTTAGTGGTTCTCAAACATTAGTGTGCTCAGAATCATCTAAGGTGCCTACTGAACAATGATATTCCAAAGCCTCACCCTAAGTTTTGACTTGGGTGGTCTGAAACGAGGCCTCAGAATCTGTATTCTTAACAAGCCTTCCATGATCCAGATGGGCGATGGACCATTCTTTGAGAAACACTGATATCCCTCCAATGTACAACAAAACATTGTTTATTGTTTGTGACTTGATGGTAGAGTTTCAAGCTGAATAAAACATACAAACAATTAGAACACAAATAGATACATTAAATAAGGGTAACTGCATTTTCTTTCTAAAAGTGACATCATAAACACAATGACTTGCATCAAAATTTTAAAATCAATTTTCTTTGAATCCAAGGCACCTGTAAAATACTTGCTGGTGTGAAAGAAGTGAACAGATCCAATTATACAAAATAGTACAGAAATGAAGGAATCCTGGCAGTGACTGATTTTTCCACAGAGCAACATTTTTGTTTAGAAATGAGCTACTGATTTTGAGGAAAACAAACCAAACTTCAAATAATATGACAAACATTCTACATGAACTGTCTTACAGAGTGATTTTCAAGCAAATTAAATTACTAAAATAACAAAGACTCATGCTCATGCTCTTTCACAATAGCCATCTCCACTCGTGTTAGGAATGGGGAAAATGATTCCCCTTGAATCTTAGCCTGAAAAATGTACACTGCATAGATCTGGTGTTCCTTTAATGTTCAGGCACATAAGACCATGGACTTTGTAACACTGGACTTGGCAGCCTTTTATCTCAAGAGGATTTCCCAAGTTTCATAGTCTACAACTTAAACATTCTTCTGAAGGTATTAATTTTTTTTCATGGAATAGTAGTAAAGTCTGTGATGATGATGACTCTGAAACATGAATTTCAAAGTATTAATACTCTAAAGTAAAAACAGGATAGACGCATGTTCCATGTTGAAGTGACTGAAGTAGACAGAGTAAGTCAAATGACCATATTCTCTTTCAGCAGTCTAGGATAAATGCCAACATAGAAAGTGATGGAAGATTGCACACACAGTACTAGCTTGGTATAAAGCAGAGTTCTTCACAAAGTCTTTGTGCAGGTTTTAGGTCATTAGGCCAATCTGTAAATGACATTTGAGAGGAAACTCAGGGAGGTCTGGAAGGATTTAATAGTACTATTTTATAAAACAGTATTGTTTTAGATTCTATGGCAAATGAAAGACACCCACTTCAAGTAAAAGAGGTAAAGGAGTATTTTGAAGCCAGCAAAAGTCAATCTACATAAGCTGTAAAAACAAAATTAAATCTGTATTTTAAAATGTCATTTATAGGCCATCTGTATAATACCTAGAACTATGCACAAAGACTATATATAAAAATCCCTTCTAGTCTGACATTTCAAAGTTAAGCTTACTAACAAGTTCTCTGCAATATTCTCAGTTCTGGCATTAAACGGAAGAAATCACATATTTTGGTTTCTAAAACCTTAAAATCACTTGTATTGCAGCCACCTTGAGTTAAAAGAGTCCGTAAATAGTCACAAACCCATGTTGCATGGAGTAATGTAAACCAGAATGCAGTGAGCGGTAAGTTTTGTCAATTTAAAATACCCTCAGATCATGCAATCTGAGCTGAAGTTACATGCTGTACGAAATGGGCCAAATAAATTCCTTAAGCTATAAATGTAAATACAAAAATTATTTTCATAATATTGACCTGACACCATCGGAATGAAGACATTCAAGAATACAGGCAATCATGAAAAAGAATACGTAACTGGGCAAAATACCCAGAAACACCATTATCGCAGGAATGTTTTTCACCCAAGTGGTTTTTTTAGCCAAAAAGTAGTCCTTAATTTTCTCCCAAAATTTCCTTTAAAAGGAAAATATACCATTGATAATCAGAGAAGAAAAACCTTTTCAATTACCATTTTTGAAGCCTATTACTTAGTCTAAAGCTCTCAGACAAAATATCCTTTGAGTTCAAAGAAAACTATATTAAGATAAAGGACGGCAAACCTGGGCCTTAGATTAGGAAATTCTGACCTCTAAAAAAGATTTGGGTTACAAAATTACCATGATGGGGGCTCTTAATCAGACCTCCTGTTTTGAGAGGCAGGAGGGCGAGTGTGTTCCTGCTAGAGAAACCCCAATACTGGAGGCTTAGGGGTTAACACTCAAATCCAGAGTTTCCCCCCTTTCTGTAATCTATCCTCTCCCTGGTCAGTATTCTGTTCAGTGGCTGCATTCTACTGACCAGAAAGTCACAGAAATTTAAACAGATTTATGTAGCAGGAACAAATTTAAATGTAGTTGTTTTGCTTTAAGGTTTATTCTTACTGCAAATCAAAGGTTTCAACAGTTACTTTATACAAAATTTAATAATTTAAACTTTGAAGCATTTAAATACTTAAATCCCCTCAAAAAGACATGTTGTACATACATACATGATGCACACATGTGAACATGGTGGTCAAAAGAATTTTTTGGCCGCTGCTTCTTGCTGAGTCCTAAGGAAAAAAAGAAAGAAACACTGAAAGTTCTATACACTTAACTTTAGAAAGAGAAAGGATTGCTTAAAATTAAAAAGTCAATATCAAAGCCTTTTGATGTGTAAATACGTAAGCTAGCATATTTTCTATACACATACCCCCATGTCAACTGACCTAGACAAGAAATCATATTTGCTCCATATAAACCCAATTTTATTTTATTTATTTTTTGAATAGTATCATGAGGATATAAACCTAACTATAGGTAAAGCTGTATAGATAACTTAGATACATAGATAACTTTGCTGAGTATTTCAAATTAAACAGATGCAGAGAACTGCTGGGTTACACCTTGTCAGGAGACTCACCTGTACATGATGTAGCCAATGAATAACACCGTTTGCACCACCACAAACATAACGAAGTGGATTGTAGATAAACATGATGGGAATGGCGGTAGTTCTGGGCACTTTGGTTTTTCATTTGATGGCTACGAGACAAAGAACTTTCTATTACAATTAGATTAGTGTTTTGGAAAAAGAAATAACTGGGAACTCTTTACATAACTCATGGTTTACTATATGAAAAAGTATTTTTATTTATTCACCACTAAAAATATTTTCTATCTCTTTAACTTTCACCACCAATTTTTTTGAAAGAGTAGACACTGGAAGGCCTCCATCTCTTCACCAGCCAGTCATTCATGCCACTTGGCTCCTCTTCTCATGACCATAATGATGATTTTAGTGTCCTTGAGGTCACTGAGACTAGTGTCACCACGGACCACACTTCCCCCAGACATGCCCAGTTCACACCTGCTGTACTGGTATAGTTATTAATAGCACTGTCTGGCCTCTCAAAATTGTTCTGGTTCAGACACTTGCATGGTTACCCAACCAATGAACTCCGTGACAAATACAATGGCTTTTTTCTCAGTCCTCATTCTCACCAATCTCATAGCCTTCAACATTACTCACTTTCTGAAAAATGTTTCTTATTTTTGTGTGTGTTCCTTTTATTTTAAAGAGATTAATTCAATGCCAGGAACAAATATTTTATCAAGGCATCCAGACAGAATGGCCTCTGAAATTAGTCGTCTCAATATGATGACTTATATGGGATAAAGTCCTCAGTATATACTTAACTACTACAACATCAACTTGGTCATTGCAACAAAGGCTAGAGTTGGGACAAAATACCCTCAGATTGAACTTAGGGAGCAGAAAACAGTGCTTTGGGTGAGAGGTCACGGTCAATAAGAAAACTATCAATATTAAGCCATTTTTGAAAAAAAAAAAGTACATTGAAGGCATTTACATAGAAGTGTAGTTAAGGAAATCTATATCCAAAAACTAAAGGGGAGAAAATTAGAAGATTGAAGATTTAAGCTTTTTCCTCTACAGTATACTTACTAATGACCTTGAGAAAGTCAATTTAACTTAACATTATTATAACATATTAATTCAACATGTGTTCTAAAGGATACCTGCTATTTTAAAAATACAAAAACAGGTATGAAATATAAGAGATTAGGATTTCTGATTTTGGTAAGGCAGACTAGAAAATATGGACCAACCATACTCTAAATAGGTCTTGCAGAAGACAACTACAGAGGTAGCAACAAAACCAATCCAATCTAATCCGAACATCTAACACCTGTCTGAAGGCAAATGAGGCTAGTCAGATAGCAAGAAATTATCAAATCAGAACCTTGGGGGGAAGAAATAGGCCAAAGAAATATACTTTAAACCACCCATGGATCAGAAAAGATATTAAAAGGATAAATCAGAAAATATTTTCTTTTCTTTTTTTTGAGTTAGAGATTTTGTTATATTGCCCAGGCTGGTCTTAAACTCCTTCTCTAGCAAGCGTCCTGCCTCAGCCTCCCCAGTGTCTGGGATTACGGATATGAGCCACTGCCCCCAGCTAGAATATATTCTCATTGAACAATAATAGATACTATACATAAAAAAATCTGGGATGGGAGGAACAACTCACATCCTGTGCTTCTGTCCATGAAGGGTTAACTGCTATGGAAAGTGTTCTTCCGCCATAAACAACTAAAAAACTAGGACAAATGGATATTTGGGACATATGGATAATCCTACCATGAACATTACAAATGAGCATTAGCATTTACTGAAAGGTTAAAATATTTTCAGTAGAATAAAGTACAATATGCATTCTTCCTTTCTCAAAAATTATAAAAGGAGAAGGAAACAAAGTCACCATATTTCGCTGCATGAAGTTATCGATGTCCCTCTTTACTACATGCAGGTGCTCTTTGATGTCCATGAAGTGCTGTGTTGTCTCATAGACCCCGGCAGGGCCAGGATGCTGTATCCCGCTGACCAGTCTGACAGTTTCACTCATGGAATTCCTGGAACAGAAAATCTCTTTTTACAGTGCAATCACTAGAAAGATGATTTTTGCAAGATTTTAAATGCTTATACCCTTTCAAGTGCAATACATTAGATCATTTAAAAAACAAACACACACAACAGGTAAAGAAAATAGGTATTTAAAGAAACTGTCTTTAAAATTTAAAAATACTTTATAAAACTACATTATGCTTTTACTTTTACAAAAGGTCATCTAATAATCATTATCTAGACTACTACTAAATAATGTGTGTTAAAACCAGTAGTTTGTAAAATAAGCAAGCCCAAAGTTATATTCCATTCCTTTTACTGATTTATTTCTCTTCTATCCGTTCCGTCTGTTGTATTCATTTCTCCAATCTCATGTCCACATTGGTGTGGGAGTCAGGGTAGGGGGTACTCTTGTCAAAAGGCACATTGGTGCATATGTGTTTGCTAGCTCACTTGTCCATGAAAATATTTTAAGATATTAAAGAAAATCTTTTGAAATGGGTCTTTTTTAAGGAAGAGGAAAAAAAAAACCCCAAAAAATAAAAAAATAAAACTGTAGTTTAAGACGATAATGAGTAACATAATAGATGATGATCTTAATAAAGTTATACGAAATCTCTCCAGGTATTCAATGTTGTACGACAAAGGACCAACTTGTCAGGCCTGGGTTGTTCAAACCCTGCACCTTCCACAGCCATGGACGTGGGCCTCCTCAGAAACTTCATGCAAACAATGTGATTTTTTGAAAAAATGTGATTTATGTGAACGTCTGGTTTTGTTTACCTGGGGTCTTAGGCTTTCATTGGATCAGCTAGACCTCTGGGGGGGGTGGAAATTGAGTATTTATTTAAGGTCAGTCATGTGGACACTATGTGGCTGACCTCCAGCAAAACTCCTGGACATCAAGGATTGGGTGAGCTTCCCTGGTTTGCAGCACTTTGTACATGTTGTCACACATTGCTTCTGGGAGAATTAAGTACTTTTCATGAGACTTCGCTAGGGGAGGATAACTGGAAACTTGCTCCTGGCTCTTCCTGCACTCCACCCTATGCAACTTTTTCTTTGCTAATTTTACTCTGTATCTATCTTTCATCGTAATAAGCCATAACCACTGAGTTTAACAGCTTTTGAGTTAGGTGAGTACTACTAGAAAATCAAAGTAACATAAATTGTCTTGGGTACCCTGAATACAAATGTAATTCTATTCTTGCAGTTCTCTCAGATGGCCCCTACATGTGTACCTTGAACTTCGCGTGGAACCTAATCAAAGAAGTGCCTATTTGTTTAAAACATGAACTAAAAAATATCCCAAGGGATAGTATGACAGTGTCTAATGTGTTATCTTTTTGAAGGATAATTTTGACCTTACACAACATTTTGCCTTACACATGGACTTTAGAACGTTATGTCCACGTAAGATGTGAGTGAGTCTTCTACTCAGATGTGAGATAAAGAGCTCCACCGTGAGTATGCCCCGGGGTGAGTCTGTAAGCATGGTAATAAGACACTACAAATATTTTTCTTTAATGATGGCAAAAATATAACAGGCCTATTTCATAAGATTAAATAAAGAATAAATATGAATTTCAATTTACTACTTAGAAGACCACAGGCAGTCCCTGAGTTACAAACATCCAACTGATGTATGACTTACACTTATGAACAAAGGCAATAGGTAATAGGTAAATGTAACTGTTCCAACTTGCATACAAATACAACATAGAATAAGCCTACAGAACCTATCTTGTTTGTAGCCCGGGGACTGCCTGTACTTAAAAATCTCTATAAATGGCAAATAATTTGTGGATTAACATGTATATGGTCATAAATGTTATGAACATTTATTCATTTATAAATGTTACCTATAGTTATTATGAATTTATCTTCAAGTCTAGAGATTTTTTGGTGAGGGAGATAAGGTAAGACTGTACCTACAAAATGTTCATAATTGCCAAAGCTGACTCAGGGACATACAGAGATTCACAGTACTATCTTCTCTATTTCTATTTCTCTTTGAAAATGGCCATTAAAAGTCTGAAGTCCTTGCACAGCTAAGGGCACAACAACCAAGGCAAATAGACAACCTTCAGAATGCGAAAAGATACTTGCATATTACGAATCTGACAAAGCCTTGATAACTAGGCTCTACAGAGAACTCAAATTAATCAACAAAAAAAGAGCTAACAGTCTCATCTATCACTGACACGAGATATGAATAGAACCTTCTCTAAGGAAGACAGATGAATGGCCAACAGACACATGAAAAAATGCTCATCGTTCCTAATCATCAGACAAAGGCAAATTGAAATCACCCTGATATGTCTCCTAACTCCAGTAAGATTAGCCCACATCACACAGTCTCAAAGCTGCAGGTGCTGCCAAGCATGTGGAGAGTTGGTGGGACTGCAAACTAATGCAGCCTCTTTGGGAAGAGGTATGGAGAACCCTCAAAGAACTCAAATTAGTTTTGACCCCATTTGACCCCACAATCCCACTTCTCGGCATCTACCCAGAAGAAAAAAAATCAATTTTAACAAAAAGACATTTGCACCAGATTGTTTATCACAGGGCAGTATACAATCCCCAAGATGTGGAAACAACCTCAATGCCCACCAGGAATGGATTAACAAGTTGTGGTATACGCACACCATGGAATATTATTCAGTCATAAAATGATGGTGACTTCATATCTTTTGTATTATCCTGGATGGAGGTGGAACACATTCTCAGCAATTATCCAGTGTACTGAATACTAACATGAAGCCAGTAGACGATCTAATTCATGCCCACATAAGAGAAAAACTCAATTCAAGTTGGGGGGAGGGGTAACGAAGGAGGAGGAGAGGGTAGGGTGGGTGCTCCCACTCAACGGGCATGGTGTAGAGGTGTCTGTCACACCTTTTGAGTGTCCGACATAACCACAAGAGGGACTCTACCTAACAAAATCAAATATTTTGACCTGGTTGTATGTATCCCCACATTAACCCGAAAAAAAAAAAATCTGAACTCCTTAAAGGTCTCCATATCTGTTTGCAGCTTATCTAACTTCATCTTGCACTACTGCCTGGGTTCCTGCCGTTGCGTGAAAACATCCTTTACTTAAACCTCTGTCTTTGTAATACTCTTTCTAGTGATAATCCCTCCCCAATATCTATGGTTTAAAATTCAAAGCTTAGTTCAAATGCTGCTCTTCCTCTATGTTTTCCTTATTGATCCTTCCCTGCTACACACACTTTTCTACTTTGGAACTGCATAGATGGATTCTCTCCCTCATACAGCATATGTTCCCTGAGAATGAGGGTCATGACTCTGATTTCCTATGAAAGCCTCCAACAGTCAAGGTTCCATTTCAATGAATAAGTAAGTTATCTCACTTAATTCCTTGGAGAAAATTTTAGTTTAAAACATAAGAACTTTACTGGAGGAAAACAAAAAGATTTTTGTTTTTGAGACAGAGTCTCACTATGTTGCCCTCAGTAGAGTGCCGTGGCATCACAGCTCACAGCAACCTCAAACTCTTGGGCTTAAGCAATTCTCTTGCCTCAGCTTCCCAGGTAGCTAAGACCACAGGCACCCACCACAATGCCTAGCTATTCTTTGTTGCAGTTGTCACTGTTGTCTAAGCTGGCCTGGGCTGGGGTCGAACCTGGTTCCCTTGGTGTATATGGCTGGCACTGTAACCATTGTGCTATGGGCACCAAGCCAAAAAAGAGAAAGATTTAAACCTTAAATTTACTTAAAACTTATATGGTATTGCCAGGCTATTATTGTCAATGAATGTTTTTAAAAATTGTGTTTGAATTATCTGAACAATGAAAACTTGTCAACTACAAAATATCTCAAGTGCTTTCTGAATTAATGTCATGTGCTGATTAAAATTTCTTTTAATGGCATGTATGCTCAAGAAATTCATGGGGACCTAAGCCTTTCCATTAAAACCCAAATGAAGGATTATATTTAAATATACCTAAAATACTTAACAACACGAAAATCTCGCAGAATATATAACTTTCTCACAGTTTTGCATTTAAGAATATTGCTTCCCAGAAGCATGAACTTGCTTACTTATAAACATCTTTTTAATATACAAAGATTGAGTCACTTAATGTGCTCCTATTCAATCATTCATCTGCCTGTTGAGTCTGCTAACATTTATTTGGTACATGTCATGAGCCAGGCAATTTATAGGGATTATACTTTTGCAAGAAAAAGGAAAATTCCTGCCCTGTTGAAACTCATAGTCTAGCAGGACAGCACAGTAAGAGAAACACAGCTGGTGTTCTTCCAAGAAAGACACATGCCCAAGATGGGCACCCAGACCTGAGAGGTAAAGAAGCAGGAAAGACCCCGGGGCAGTACTGTGCTGCAAGGAGGGCGCATTTAATTTAGGAAATAGGTCAAGTAAAAGGAAGGCTGGACCAAACCCTTGAGAAAAAGACCTTGTAAGGGATGATGGAAGATGAGCAACAAGTGAGAAAACGACAAGGAAGCAGAGAGGCCAAAGACACCATGAGCAAACGGTGCTCGAAGTCTGGGAAGGGGAAAGATGGAGGAGTGGAAAAGGCATCAATGGTACAAAAAGGTGTGTGCTAAGAAGCCCTTTCTGCTAAAAGAAACTCTGTGATTTCTCCAGAAGACAAAAATCTGTAAAGACACAAACCACTCTTTCATTACAAGACAAGTATTTCCTAACTCTTTACCTTTTTTCTGAGGCTAAATCTGGAGGAAAAAGCTCCAGAAGACTAATTCAGAAATCTGAGTTCAGTCTTACATTACTCACCATCTGCATGACGCTTGTTCTCAGCTAGTGAGTGGGAGTGTGCCAGGACTGCTGACCACCCTAAGGAAGTGCTTTCGTGGCCGGGGTTTCTAAGTGCTAGCTGAACCTTAGGACGTTCTGCTACTACTGTAAGGGAAATGAGCAAAGCACAAGAGTACTAGAGTAAACCACCCTCACAGAAGTAGGGGATTTAAGAAAATACACATGAGAAAAACCAGAAACTAACAGAACTGGTTACCAAGAGGAAGTAGTGGATGAGAAAGGAGAGAGTGGGAACGGGGTAGCAGAGCTGAGGGGAGTGACACGTACACACACACGCTCACATGCTCATCCACACACACATTTTGGGCCCCGCCTCTCAGAATCAGTCTTCACATACCATTCATATACCCAAAATAAACTAAAATCAACCAGGATATAGGAGGAATAGAATACTAACAAAGAACCTAATTGTGTCATAAATGAATACTATTAACTGTAATAAAAAGAGAGGGGCAGAGGAAAACTAAACTAAGACTCTGCTTGGAAAATAATATTTTGGCTGGATACTCCAAGTCTAGAGGTGAAAGGAACTTTACACACACCTGTCAGTAAATGTCTTCACAGGGACATGGGTTAGCAATCTAAAACCACTTTACGTGTCCTTCTGTGCATACGAACATTGAACCAACAAGTAAATACATTATAGATATTAAGAACCAAGTTTCTCCTATGGGAGAACAAATTTTCCAAATAGGAAATGGAGGAAGGTTAAAAATCAACCTTGTAGTTTTCATTCTAGCCCAGACCACTAGAGTCCAATATATCTGCATAATCTAATAGTTTAACACAGAAGTAAATTAATGGATAGAGAAATATAGATGTGTGTATACGTGTGGGTTAGTATACATATATATATCTACATCTATTCCTTAGTTCTGTCAACTAAGAGGGCCTAGAAGCAATGGCATCCCAGCAGTAATGAGCACACCCTATCTCCTGATCTTGATTTTTAAACCTCTTTCTCCAAGAAAAGGAATTAGGGCTCTCTAGAGAAGTGGTTGATTCCAGAGCTGAGAAAATACAACATAAGCCTGGAAAACATGTATAGAGTAGTATCAGAAAGTAAAGGAATGTTTTTAAAAAAAAGTTGGGGGCCTGAGGCTTATTGAAGGGAACACAGAAGCTGACCTGAAGCAGCACATAAGGACCAAACGTGAAACCATCCAAGCAGCAAAATAAATAATTATAGCATTAGGTTACAACCCATAAAATAAAATACCCACAAACCTGTCCTTACATCAGTTAAATAAGTGAGAGTGAAAGGACAGCTAGTCCTTATAATACAATTCCATTAATAAATATAAAGGGAATGATAGAAAAATCAACACTTGGTAAACATCTCATTCTTATTTTAGACAAAACATCAATTGGTGCTAAAATTAATGAACAGAAGTTTGATAAGGACACTTCGATAATCTCAAAGTATCTTCTCCAAAATGTTAACCACAAAAGGAAAGACAGTAACTTTATACTAGAGAAATTAGTAAGAAGCCACCATACCCAAGTGATCACGGCCAACATCACTAGTAATAAGATATACTGACACCATGTGATGCACGGTGCATCTTGGGAGAGGGTATGACTTCCATCCAATCATGGGTAAACACCAAACCCAAATCAAAAGGCATCTGGCCAACTGATTAGTGCCACGCTAAACATCAAGGCCATGAAAGACAAGCAAAGAACTCTTTCAGATGGCAAAAGTCTAAAGAGAAACAATAACTAAAATGCAATGTGTGATCACAATTAGGATTCTGGAACAAAAAAAATGCCTTGGTGGAAAACCTGGTGAAATATGAATAGGTCATTAGTTTAGCTGATCACAGTATATCAATGTTAATTTCACAGTTTTGACAATTATACTAAGGTTAGATAAAGGGAATAGATACTAACATTAGAGGAAGTTGGGTGAGGGACATATACAACCTTCCTGTACTATTTCTCCAGCTTCTGAAATCTAAGGATTAAAATAAGATTTTTTAAAATGTTGTTACATAATCCAGAATTATTTTTAAAGGATTCTATTCATTTAACATCACAAATATTTCAATCATGAGTCCACAAACTGAAGATTTTTTAAAATGCCAAAGAGTAAAATTGCAGAAATACAAATTCGCAACTACAAGTTAAACGTTTTTCATCTCTAGAGGTCAGGGACTGTCACCTTCTGTTTAATCTAACCCTGTTTAATTTTCCAGTCCTAGAAAACTCACGTGAACATTGTCTGTCAAGTGACTGGGACACTGCTCTTAAGTTATACTTATGGAAATCCAACACTTTGGCTTGTTTTCTCTGCTCTAGGCATTTAAAGCTGTTAATTATCTGTGTAAGTGAATCATTCTCATTAGACATTTATCATTCAACATTCCAAAGACACAGTATCTTCTCTCTGTTCAACTCTTTGTCTAGCCTTTCTTAAGGTATACGACGAGAATGGAAAAGAGGGAGTCACACACACTTCCTTCAGAATTAGTTCATTCCCTCAAAAGAATTTCCTGCATCAAGTCTGCTTATATTACAATGCTACACATGCTTATTCCCTTGTATTTTTCATGAAATTTTTGTATATTACTCCATATCTTTTTTGTAGTTTATTAATTTAAGAACACGCTTGGCTCTACCAAATAGCTAGACAAACCTATTTTTTTTAAAGATGCTAAAAGTACTTTTCCTTTTTTAGCTTAGAACAGTTTAATAATTTAGACATGTTTTCAGTTTCTGAATATTAAAAGTTGCTGTTTGTAAAATGAATCTAGAATGTAATTCTTACCCTTATCCAAGAATCTTACAACAATACAGTGCTGGCTCACCTAGAGAAGTCTCAAACTTAGGACGAGGACATCATCTAACACTCAGACACCACCTCCATATACTTACTTCATTTCGTTTACTTGTCTCAGAATCTCATGCTGAGTTTTCACAACAGTGTCCAGTTCTTGCTGAGTGATCTGGAGGAAAACACGATGACGAGCAAGCTTAGTACCTGCACAGGCTAGGACCGCACGGGCCAGCGGCCTCTCTTCTGTCCCCTGACTGAGGCCAGCTAGGCACACGTGCACACTTAGAAAGCTCACCTGCCCGGGCTGCCCTGGGGTTCCTGTTCCTCTCTTAGAGATCTCCTCTGTCAAGGAAGAGACATATCTTCTCTGTTCATCAAGAATCATATCTAACTGCCGGTTCAGTTGCTTGATTTCAAGATGAATACGATTCTGTCCTTCAAAGACTTGTCTTAGCTCACGATCTCCTACACTCTCAAATATTTCATCCGCTGAAGAGGAAATTACAAATTAAAATTATTAGGATCACATACACATACGTAGTTTTTGAAATACCACAAGCAACCAAAATGTCAATATATGCCAAATTAGAACACTATCTTCACAGTGGTATAATCTCCCAAATAGTAATGTGCTATTTGAACATCAATCATGATTCAATTACTATTTGTTTTTGCCTTTCTAGTGGTTGAGCCACTTATTATAAATTAGGTCTGAATTTTTTTCATTTAAAAATAATGTATCTCTTTCATATATATACTTTGTTATTCTAGGTATATGAATAAGCAGAACTAATCAAAGGTGCTAGAAATCAAAATAGTGATGGGCTTTGTGGAGGGGGATTGACTTAGTAGAGGCATGAAGGAAATTTCTGGGGTGATAAAAGTGTTTTGTATACTGATCTGGTTACACAGATTAGCAAGTAAAATTGGTATACACATTTGTTAAAATTCACCAAACTATACTCTTTAACCCAGGGGTCCTCAAACTTTTTAAACAGGGGGCCAGTTCACTGTCCCTCAGACCGTTGGAGGGCCAGACTTTGGTCCCCAGGATGAGTCGGCTGCTAAGCAGGACAGGCAGCAGTGGCAAAAATACCCGGCAGGCCAAATAAATGTCCTAGGCGGGCTGCATGTGGCCGTGGGTCCTAGTTTGAGGACGCCTGCTTTAAATGCTTACTACAATCAGCTTCAGGACATACAAATCATATGTAATGATGTTTAAAACAAATTCAAAAGAAGAATGACATTTATAGTTCATTTTTAACTTCATTAAGTCTAAATAATACTGTGTATCATTAAGAGCACTGCATAATATATCCAGTGTTCAAATGCTAGACATAGGCTTTATAAAGTACAGCTTTGGTTATTTATGCTGATAGAGAATGACCCAGATAAAAAAGCTAGTAGACAATATAAAGTCCCTCTATTTGGCCTTAATGTTTTATTTTGGATATTCATTAGCATACTGAAGTCTTTTATTACATTGGCTTAGACTAGTATTTTCCAATTTTCAACCTTTAAAGTTCAAGATTCTATTGAATAATAAGGGAAAAAGAAGTTGTTATCACTTTATGTTACTCCCACAATGGTTTTGTGAGCCACTAAAAGTAAAAACATAAACCTTTGATGATTTCATTCAACCAAATACTTACTGAATTTCAATACTAAGTCAGCACTGCTTTGGACTTTGTTTTGTTTAGGTTTAGGAAACACAGCAGTGAACACAGCAAATAAGATCTCTGTCGTCACTGCTCTTCCACGCCAGTGGCCTCCCTGTTGGCTCACATTAACTATGCCACTCTTTACTTTATACGTCATTAAGCCACACTCTTATTGGTAAAGCTGCCAGTCTCCAGTCCCTGAAAGACTGAAGAGTTGCTCAAATACTGCTTCTAGAAATTAGTTGTAATCTGCCAGTTCGGAGAGCAGGGATGAGCTAGGCAACATGCAGACACAATCATCCACACGCCGAGAGCCCTGCTGCCGCGCTGCCACTGGCTTCACAACTCACCAGGTTGCCCTTGGAGGTCGGGGTGGCCCTTCTGGAATTCCTCTTTTTTTTTATCCAATTCTTGTTGGAAGTGCTCAAATTCCTCCTGATATTTTTCTTTTTCTTTTTCCGTAATTTCTTTATCTGGTGTAGGCTTTTATTGGTGTTGATGAATAGATCACAAAAAAGATAAGAAAACCAGTAAGATACCACAATTTTGGTTCTTTTTCCTCATTACAACTATTTTACCACTAGCTGAAGGATGAACATATAATATTATTCCTTACTGATATCATACCCAATTTACTTTGGCTACTAAAACTAAGAAAAATACAAGTAACCACAACCATTTACTGAGTGCTTGCTACAAGGATATTGTCTCAGTTAATCCTTGCAACATCAAGAGGAGGCCAGTGCAAACAACTCTACCTTACCAATGAAGAGACAGACCCTTACAGAAGTTCAGTAACTTGCAGAAACAAGATCCTAAGTCAATCTTTGCAAATTTCTGGCCTCAAGGCAAAACCACTAAACTGAAAAACTTTCTGAAAAAAATGTTTACTTACTGGCTCTTTCCCAGGTTCAGTCAACTGGAAAGTTAGAAAAGAAAGGACATCATGGTCATCTACAAATTAAAAAAAGAAGAAGTCTGAAAAAGTTCCATAGCAGGGGAAAAAAAGAAAGGTTCCATGGAAGATTATTTTTATGGTAAAGGCAATTGTGCTCTATGAACTTAGAGACAATTTATCTGAAAGATTTACATTAGAAAGAATCGAAAATTCACTTTCTGAAACCCTGAATCAGAATAGTTAGCAGTGTTTAACATATAATAGAAGTTTCATAAGTATCTGGTAAGGAGTGAACAAACAAATGAAGGATCAAGTCCAAGTTCTTAATCTTGGTACCAAGATCCTCCTACATTTTCCCATGAATCTCCTTCATGGATAACGTCCCAGACAAATGAGATAAAATCCTGGTCTTCATGTCCTACGTCTATCTGTCTCTGAACTTTTCTAATAGCACATACCACTTTTTATCTTACTTTCATATTTGTTTCTGTCACATGGAAGATATTAATAATTTTATCTAAAATCATATAAAAAAATCAAATTAACTTCAAGCTGTTTAAGCTAAGAGTAGGGACTCAGTACATCAAGCCTAACACTGAACTAAAATGCCAATCGTGGATAGTCACATCTGCAAAGCAACAGCAATTAATTCAAGTATGCAGCAATCTTTATGTTTTCTGCCGCTCTTATGGAGATCTGGAGCGGCAGACAGATTTAAAAAAAAATTATAGGGTGGCGCTTGTGGCTCAAAGGAGTAGGGCACCAGCCCCATATGCTGGAGGTGGTGGGTTCAAACCCAGCCCCGATCAAAAACTGCAAAAAAAGAAAGAAAAAAACATTACAATATTACAGTGTAGATGAAGTAACTTGAGGAAAACCTATGTAGTGTGTAAACTGGGCACTGGACTCAGGAGTCAGAAATCCAGACTGAGTCTTGCCTGGGGCTAATCAGTACTGGTCATGTGATCTTGAGAAACTCCTTTCATCTAAGATTTGGCAAACCCATCTAAAAATATGGGAAACATGTTATTTCCCCCTCCCTCTCCCAAGGTTGAAAACAACAATCCATATATATGAAAAAATTTAAAACTACAATGTACCATATAAACACAAAATGGAATTAATGCTGAATGCTAACTTCATTAGCATTTTTTACGTTTTTTTTGTGGAAAAAACGTAACTATATTTATGTTTTTGTTTCAAGTTTAATCCCCAAGTCACATTTCCTCAGATTGCCCAATTCATTGATACATAATGTGACAACTCTCAGGATCCTAAAACACTTGGCAATTAACCTTTCATAGTCTTGACTTTAAATATGTCTCTTCACTATTAAAGAGCACCAAGCTCTAATTACAGACTTGTATGTAGCCCCAGGTCACTGTGAACCTGCAGAATGATGTAAACAGAAGATGAACAGTCTCAACAGACCAAAAGATGGGCATGGTGGACGAGTGGAACATGCCAATGAGTCTACATATCCTTAAAATATACTATTACCAATACAACTTAATTCAATAACTTTTAATACTAAAAGACATACCTGCAAGACCTCCAGTGGCAGCAGATATCCCAAAATGCCCTTGAGCAGGGATAATCATATTTTCCACTTTGGTGCAAAATTCATAATCATTTTTGTCAGGTGTAAAGCCATTATTGATCATTACCTAGAAAGACATACCATAACGATGGCTTTTATAAAAGGCATCATAATATGACTTTCAATTATTTAATTTTATGACCAATACTATTCACTCTTGCTTCCCTTCCCTATTATGAAGAGTAATTTTAAGCAGCCTTACTGTCATTACATAGTAAGATATATTACTTCAGGAAAAGTTTTTTGCCCCACTATTTGTCAAAGGCTTAACAAGAGAAATTTTGATAATTTTCCATGAAAACAGAATACGGTTCACTTTCTCTCAAGAAAATTTACAGGTCTGTAGTTAAATCTCTTTGCATGGTTCATACAGAAGAGGGATCAGACTCATTCTGAAACTCCACTGACAGACCAAAACCAAGAAATTAAATGCACAACTTTATCTATAGTCAGTTGAGAATTAAACAGATTGCCTTAACAAGTAGTGAGCTCCAATTATTAATGGGGTAAGTCACAGGTTAGCAGAGTAAATGACAGAAACCATAAAAACAAAATAACAGAAAGTGAGAAAAAGTAAAAAGCCACGTTTCTTTTTTTTACACCATAAATAGATATTTTTATTTGTCAATTAAAATTCAAAAATAAAATAAAATTGAGCCCATAAAGAACTCCAAACAAGCTTTATTTCATGCAGCAAAGAGGATGTTCGCCACGTAAGTTTCTAATCTGCAGGATGTTTATGTGAAGGACCCTACATTTCTTAATAGAATCCTGGAATTCTAAGAAAGCACAGGAATTCACCTGACACAAAAAATGCTATCCTCATTATCCTAGTCACATAGGGGTTTAGCCTCTTTAATACATTTCCTTTCTGGCTCGGCGCCTATAGCTCAACCGGCTAAGGCGCCAGCCACGTACACCTAAGGTGGCGGGTTCAAATCCCCAGCCCGGACCCGCCAAACAACAATGACGGCTGCAACCAAAAAATAGCCGGGCGTTGTGGCGGGCGCCTGTGGTCCCAGCTACTTGGGAGGCGGAGGCAGGAGACTCGCTTGAGCCCAGGAGCTGGAGGTTGCTGTGATCTGTAATGCCACGGCACTCTACCCAGGGGGACAGCTTGAGGCTCTGTCTCAAAAAAAAAAAAAAAACATTTCCTTTCTAACAACCCAGTCACGAGCCCTACCCTAAATAAGTCACTGAGATAGAGTGGATGCAGAACTAGGTCCATGCACCAGGGTAAGAACATTTTTTATCACTATTTTCAGAGGTAGAGTTTTGTTAGAGATAGTTAAGTCACACAGGTGAAATGCTATACAGTACTCCATGCAAACTTTCAGCTAAAGAATAAAATACCTGTTACGCTCTATATAGTGTAGGATGGAAACTAGTGAACTAAATATTAGTTTAAAAAAACTAAATTTAAAAGATCACCTACCATGTAGTTAACTAAAATTAATACTTATTTCCTCTAATTAGTAATATCCCTATCTTAGTTTATATTATTTACAACTGGCCCTCCTCCATAGTCTTTCAGATCAGAATCAACAATCACGAAGATCTTTGTCTTTGAGTCTTAAAAGAAGGTAAGCTAATAACACTCTATCCCTAAAAACTTCTAATTGTTCGGTATTTTTTTCCTTGAGTCCTAACAAATTAAAAATCTATTTACTGTCCATTTCTAATTTATTTTTTAAAAGGTCAAAGCATAGCCATTGTGCTAAGAGTCAGAAGGCATGATAGGACTGTAATTGCAAAGCCTGTATACATGTCCACTGATGAATGTCAAGAACGTGTTTTTATGGAGTCATCCATAATTTCCTTATTCTCTCTCTAGTTTCATCCCATTGTTAAATGCTATAATTGTGTTTGAAATCTCGTATTTACTAAGTTTCCTCCCCTAATACCACCTGTTGCTTCCATTTGCCCCTTACTTTTGTTTTTCCCTCTAATGTGGAAACAACTTAGACAAGCTGAGGGTGCAAATACTAACTCAACAAATACCTGAATAGCTACTTTGGTTACTGAAGCATAGTAATATTAGAAATGTGCCTTCTCCACTAGACAATAAGCTCTTTGGGGAGGACCATCTTTGTCTTATTCCTATTTAGATGGGGAAGGTTTGGATTTGTGTGTAACATGTGCTATATAGTAGGGTGCTTACATTCACTGACTAAATGGAAACCTACTGGCAAAGTTTTACAACAGATGACTACTTGCAAAGTGACTTTGAAGCCACTTCTGTTCTCTTGGAGTAACACTGATTAGCACGCGAGCAATATCTAAATTTAAAGACATTTACTTTCTGTCAAGAATTCAAAATGACGATGAGATGTTGTGGCTCAGGCCTGTAACCCTAGCAGTCTGGGAGGCCAAGGCAGGAGGATGCCTTGAGCGCAGGAGTTCAAGGCCAGCCTGAGCAAGAGAGAGACTCCATCTGTATAAAAATAGGAGTAACTGGCCAGGTGCTATGGCAGGCACCTGTAGTCCCAGCTACTCGGGAGGCCGAGGTAGGATGATTACTTGAACCCAGGAGTTTGAGGTTGCTGTGAGTTAGGCTGATGCCAGGCACTCTACCTGGGCAACAGAGTAAGACTCTGTTTCAAAAAAAATGAAAAAGATAAAAAAATCCAAAATGAAACATCATACTGTTATAAAATATTATTTTTTGGATTCTCTCTAAATGGATGTTACTTACTGTCAATGTTTTCTGGTAATAGATAATCTTTGCCCGGACAGGATAGGGTTTATTACGAAAGTCCCTCTGGCAACTTGCTAAAGCCTGATTAGCGCCATCACTATTGTACGAGAAAGGAAAACAAACAAGATGTTTAGAAAGCGCTTCAATATTTAAAAATTCAAGAAGATTAAAATAATACCAGCTCTGACAAAGGATATTTCAGGATATTTCAAGTCATTTATTCAGAAGACACAAAGTTTTTTTCTGTCAGAATTCTGGGTGAGACTAGAAGCCAAAAGTTAACCACCCAATGATGGGAGGGGAAAGTTACACTACTCCACAGGTAGCGGCAGCGGTTCTCTACCCTAGGGCAGAATCAGAATCACTGAGCTTTTAAAATGCAGGTTCACCGATTCCACCCCAAGTCAAGAGGGGGCCTTGGCACCTGTATTTTTTTTTTTTTAATTTTATTTTATTTTTGCAGTTTTGGCCAGGGCTGGGCTTGAACCCACCACCCCAGGTATATGGAGCTGGCACCCTACTCCTTGAGCCACAGGCACTGCCCGGCACCTGTATTTTAAACAGCTCCAGAGAAAGCTCTGAGAAACTAAATGGCAGGAAACCGTAAACAGGAACCTGGGTAAGAACTTTTTCTCACAGTTCACTTATTGGTTAAAAGGCAATTACTCCATAACAAGCATGTGAAAATCAAAACTGTACATACCTAATTCATATAAATTATACAGTCGTCCCTCAGCATCCATAAGGCATTGGTTCCAGGACCCCTGTGGATACCAAAATCCTCGGATGCTGACGTCCCTCCCATAAAATGGCATAGTAACCTATGCACATCTGTTCATATACTTAAATCATCTCTAGATTTAAATGTGTAACACCTAATACAATGTAAATGCTATGTAAATAGTTGTTATACTGTAAATGTATTTTAAATTAATGTTAGAATTGGTTTTTTTCCAGGTAGTTTCAATCTGTGATTGGTTGAATCCACAGATATGGAACCCACAAATAAAGAGCTGACTGTACTAAACACTTAGAACCAAATAAAATAAAACCTTTCCACCAAGTTACAAAATATGACTCGAGAAAAAGAATAATCTTATTTCAATTGGAAACTGTTCAGATTTATTTCAATATATCCCAATATATTTCATAAGGTTTCCAAAGAGAAGATGAAATCAGGAGTAACAAACACAAACTTACTTTTGATGGTCATAATGGATTTGTCCATTGTTGCCTATAATTACTATAGCAGGATTATTTTTCTAAAAATAAAGAAAATGTATTTGTTTTAATGTCCTTAATCAAAAAATGTAGATCATTCTTGATGTGCTACAAGTTGTCTTATATATCTAAGATTTCACCACTCAAAATCTTAAAATAACATGGCCTTGGCATTCAAAGAGTTACTGAAGTTCTCCTTTAAACAGCTAATAACCACCTCTGGAAATCAGCAGAGAAACAATCAGCTGGAGAGACAATCATCAATCTATAGCTGCTAAGCTACAAGTTAACGTTTCTAATATGTAAGTACATTTTGTTCTTAACTGTTTTTGGAAAGACTGTCAGAAAAATTGGCCTGATCACAAAGAATGATTAACATATGAAAAGATATAAATACATTAGTAATAGTCATGCACTTGGGTGTTTTCATGAAAGCAAACTGGTTACTGTCTTGTAAACACTATTGGTTTCATCACCTACATCAAAATCACTAAAGGCATATAAGGTGGTGGGGGTGGGGAGGGGTCACTGTGAAGTTCTCAGAGTTAGGGTTCCATTATGACCTCAGTTGGCATATGAAAAATCATGTACTTTGAAGTGATAAACCACCAACTATATAAAACTAATTATCATATTTACCATATAGTGCGGGGAATTCTCTACTACTAAACTAATGAGAGGGTTAAATAAGCTATATTTCTCAGAGCTTAACTCTCCTGGCAGATCAATTAAAGTAACAGTCCTGACAACGGATATACCTTTCCATCATTGTCAAAAGAATCAAAAAATATTCCAACACCATTCCACATATCAGTTGATCCAAACACAGGGCCCTCCAAGCCTTGATTTTCTGTATACCAAATTGCCTGGAAACACACAATAGGGAACAGTTAAAAGGTAGTAGTATATGCATTTATGTACATTTTCTAAGTTAAAGAAATTATCATACCAGGCCATCAGCTCCAATTCGACCTCTTCCAGTCACTCGAAATGTCACCTCCACTTCCCAGTTCTCAAAGGCTGCTTTGGCCTTCGTCCATACTGATCCTCTTTGGCTTTTTAAAGATGGTGCCACTCTAATTTGATCTGAACTTGGAATAGCATCTACAACAAAAGTCAGGAAAGAAAAGCTTTAAGTTATAATTAGGTAAAATTCAACAAATCATCTCCACACTGCTACCTATAACTACAGAGATAAGATTTTAACTTAGTAACCTGTGAAATAATTTTTAGGAAAAAGTTTCATGTTGACATTTTCAATTTTAGAAGTTCTGGGCCAATGTCTTCCTTATCTTTTGAACAGTGAAATCACTCTGCCCAAATAAAGCTACAACCATACACCAAAAACTTCAGGGCCAAGGGGCAGGAGGAAGAGAATTAAGGCTTAAAAGACAAGCTCAGAGCCTGTGGCTTAACTGGCTAAGGTGCTAGCCATGTACACCCAAGGTAGCGGGTTCGAATCCAGCCCAGGCCCGCCAAACAACGACTGCTGCAATCAAAAAATAGCCGGGCATTGTGGTGGGCGCCTAGGTCCCAGCTACTTGGGAGGCTGAGGCAGGACACTCGCTTGAGCCCAGGAGTTGGAGGTTGCTGTGAGCTGTTATGTCACAGCACTCTACCTAGGGGGACAGCTTGAGGCTCTGTCTCAAAAAAAAAAAAAAAGACTTAAAAGACAAATTTATTATTTGACTATCATAATATGCTTTTTTAAATACCTCAAAAACTTACATTTTTAAAAATGGCAATATGTTTTTACTAGTTTGCAAATGTTAGAAAGCTTAACATGAAAAAAACATGCCACTAGGAATCAAGAGACTTGTTCTTAGTCTCAATTCAACTGTATGATTCTGAGCAAATAATTCTCTTACTCTTTGGGGTTCACCATATGTTCACCTGTAAAATGAAGGGGCTATGCTTGATCACTTCCATAAATACATCAAAAGTTATATGCAAAATATTGTGTATATGCATATTCTTCTAGAAAGAGGGTCAAGTGAATTTCAATTCGATAAGCAATACTTCAGCTTCAGTAGATTCTCAGAGAAAACAGTAATCCCCTAGTGGTTTGCATCTCTAGGCTGGTTTCAAGGCCAGCTCCTTTACTTATTAGCTATTTGATCTTAGGCAATTACTCCATTTCTCTAACATCTCCATAGGCATATAAGTGTTTCAATAAATGTTAGCTCTTCCTCCTATTATTCGACTAGCACTAAATCATTATTAGAGCACCTATCAGGCCTAAAGTTTGAATGGTTTTTGCAGACTCTCCCAGTTAACCAGTTCTGACATCCTTGCTGGGAAACAAAACCACCACACCTGTAGTAACACTTTACAGGTGGAAAAAACTGACAAGAAGAAAGGTTGGGATACTTCAGTAGGTGTCTAATGACTGATTCAAAAGGGAGGAGGGACATCATGAGAAGAGTACTAAAGAATCAGAAGACATGGATTAGAGTTCAACTTCACTGACATCTATTACAAAACCTTTTTCAAAAACCTTAACCTTCTGAACATCAGTTTTTTTATCTATAAAACAGATAACGCCTGCTTTGCCTACTAAGGATCAAATCAGAGAATGAATTAAAAGTTCTGAAAGCTATAAAGGGTTACAAACTTATCATGTTTTGCCCTTATGGACCTAAGGATGTGTACTAAAGTACGAAAGGACACTGAAGTTAAGAAAAAGAAACATCACGCATTTAGTCTTAATTTGGGGGTGAAGGTAATCAGCTGTGTTTAAACTAGATCCTAAATGTCTCTATTTTCAAATTATTTTAAATAATGGATCACAGGGCCAAAGGGAAAAGTGAACAATGGAGTTAAGAGAACAGTGAGACTGTAAAAATTAAAGGGAGAGTGAAAGCCCTGAGTCTGGAGTCTGTAGCTAATAAGTCATGGCTAAAACACCAATTCCATTATTTCAAATTCAGTCTAGCTACACAACTTTAATTCATTAATGTACATTATCCTGACATTTGTGCAGCAGATTAGATTAGCTGGTATGTCTCTTTAAAGAAAGTCAAGGTAACTAATTGAGTAGTTGATTAATATTCTTAATAGGCTGATGTGGAGTGTGAAAGACAGAAAGGGCAGGCAATGGAAAGGTGCAGAAGTGAAAAAGTATGAATAAACATATCGCCATTAATGAAAATTCTTCACTGCTGCAAAAACAAAACAATAAAATCCAAAAACTTGTGGTTGCTATTATTTGCCTCATCTTTGTTTATTAATAACAGTGTTACCTTAATAACAAATGCCCAGCAATCTATCCTTGCTATGTAGCTTCATAATAGGTAACTGCTGAGTAACAAAATAATTACACTCAACTTCAAATACTTGATGACTTGGTCATTAAGCCAAATTGAAATGTATACCTTTTAATTACAAAGTAATGCGAAGAAAATGGTCCTTCCTAAAAGTGTGTTTTCTATTCAGAAATTACTTTCTAGAAATAAGAATTTGTTTCAAGCATGAACAACCTAAAATGATGCACACCAGCCTTCTACAAATGATTACTTAATCACACAGAAAGATAGAATTCAAATTGCCAGGGCTTCTCATCTCATACACAGGCATTCGCCACTTGTTTCAAAGAGCGTATCTGACAGTCACTGAACAGTTTATGACATGCCAAGTGCTACAGCTGATTCCTTAGTCAGCAGTGACACATCAGCACTAAAAGGTGGAGATAAGTTTTGTTTCACATAGTAAATGCTCTATCAAGGCTCTCCTATCTATAGAGTGCCAAAGTGAATAAAACATCAATCCGAGGTCATTTCAATTTTTCAAAAAAAAAAAAAATTCTTTTTAAGGGCTTAAGATATTCTAAAGTTCAGAAACAATCAATACTAAAAACACATATACCCCTTCTCCTAAAGAGTTACATAATGTGTTAGAAGATCAAAGACCACACCAAGTCACTGAGAGGCAAATTTAAGGTGAGTTCCAACAGTTTAAGAATGTTTTCTGACGTACAATGATGTAAAAATTACTCAGACACTGGGGTACAGACAGGAGCAAAGACAGCGGGGGTTTGGAGGAGCGGGAAAGGAAGCAAGAGTGGCGAGAATAGGTCGCTGGGGGTGGGGGAAATTTCCCCTAGAGACGTGGCGTTAGGGTGAAACGTGATGCCTAAAAGAGTTTGAATGCTTGCAAGTGTAGGAAGTAACAAAATACCTCCAGATCAAACGGAAAGTACAAGAGATCAAAGACGGGAAGACAGGAGGAGGGTTGAGAGTATAAAGAATTAGGGTGGGTGAAGATTTGGGGCCAGAAGGAAGGAGGGAACCTTGCAGGCCAGTGGGGACCTAGAGAGGGCTGCCGAGAGGGTCCCCTTCACAGCGCATATGGTATGCAGCAGCTGGAACAGGACCCTCAGCACTCCAGGGTATGGGCTCACAGAAGGTGAAGAAGAGGCCGAAGGCGAGGAGGGACCCGAGCCCCCAGCCCTCAGTCCCGGCTTACTCCCCGCGTGGGCCCAGAAGGGCACCGTCCCGTCGCTCTGCACCAAGTGCGGCCCCTTGAAGCTGTATTTGTACTCGAAACGGCGATGTGGCAGCGCAACCGGGGTACCCGGGGCGCCGGCGACCGCAGGGTCTCCTCCCACGCCGTCGCCCCAGCTAAGGCTACTAAGCGACAGCAGCAGGGCGCAGAAAAGCGGCCGAGGTCTGGCCGTGGGACCCCTTCGCCTGGATCCCGCCATCTTGGATTCTGGGACGCGGAGGCCGGCGGGAGAGGGAGGGGCTCAGGAGGCTGCGGACGGCCAACAGGGCGCTCGCTGATTGGTGGAGTCAGGGGGACCCCAAGGGCAAGGGGTGAGCCCCGCCCCCCAACCTGCGCTCTTCGGGAGGCCGCGGAGCCGGTAGCATCTGTGCGCCGGGCCACGCGGAGGGGGCGGACCTGGAGGCGGGGCGGCCCGCTTGCTCCGCCCACTCTCTCCAGGGGCGGGAGGGGTTTCCAACCTCTCCTTCCCGAGTCGCTGGGAAGGCAGGAGCAGTGGATTGGTACTTTTCCGTAGGAGACTTTCCTCTGCCTCTTAGACTACGTCAGAGGGGGAACTGCCAAGCCCTAAGACCTGTGGACCCAGAATATAATAAACCTTTGGAGTATTAGTCCTTTTGATGTGACACCGATTGTGCAGTGGCTGGTTTTCATAAGGTGAACTTCTTAGAATGAGGCATAATCATAAATACTTACGGTCCCAGCCCACTGAACTCCACCCACATGTGCTAGACCTGGTTAATACTGGGAACCAGCGATCCACAGAGTCTCAGAGCCTTAGGACTTTTACTTGGTGTTGAATAAGGGTTCTGTGAATTCGCCAGTCAACCTAAACTTCTCAAAATGTAATTCCAAGGGTATTGTACTTTTTGAACCCTTGGCAGTAGTGCATTCAAATGAAACTGAGTTTTGGTGTTTTTGTGCTGCAGACGAAGGTGTCGGTAGAACCTGAACATTTCGGGATAGGTTTGGTCTTTGACTCAAGGAATACATTTTGCATCTTAAAGAACAATCACCTTCCCTTACTTAGAAAAAAAATTTGTCAACATAGTCATGGTCATCCAGAATCTTGTTTTTCATAAATGTGTTTTATTATAAATTTTAAAAATCCAAGAAACAGCAGTATGATTTATATTGTTTTTACACATAGGTCTCTATTTCATTAGTTCTGTTCATGTGGTCTGTGAACACTGTACTGGCCTTAAGGACTAAACGCTGGTATTATATTAATTAATTTTTCATGGGCCTCCCAGTTTCCTGTCCAGAAGACAGTAAGTATTTTTTAATTTATATTTATTTTCGTTTTTATTAAATCATAATGGTGTACATTTATGGGGTTCAGTGTACTGATTTGATATACAATGTGAAATGCTTACATTGAAATGATTAACACATCCATCACAATTACACTCTTTTCTTAATAGTTTTGAAATGTACCTTTCCATCATGCACATTAGGTGAGGTTTCCCCTAGTTTGATTTTTTTTTTTTTTTTTTTTGCAGTTTTTGGCTGGGGCTGGATTTGAACCCACCACCTCCGGTATATGGGGCTGGCGCCCTACTCTTTTGAGCCAGAGACGCCGCCCAAGTTTGAATTTTTATAAAACTTTTCCTTCAGCTTCACGAGCTTTTCAGTTTGAGTTAGATATGATCATTTCTACAAGTGTTGAAATTGAGCAACTGGGCCTGGCGAACTAAATTCCTATCACCTTATCAAGGATCAGCATGGTTTTACTGTAGGGAATTCTGTTTGTTTTAAAAGTCTGAGCAACTTTCCACATTTGCTTCAGATATTTAAAAATAAACATATTAAAATGTTGGGCCCCACTGAAGTCCCTTGGCAGAATTCAATCTAAAAATGTCTACAAACAACCCAGTGCAGTGACTCACGAGGGCAAGGTGGGAGGATACTTGAGCCCAGGAATTTGAGACTAGCCTGGGGAACATAGCAAGATCTTGTCTCTAAAAACAGTGAAAAATTAGCTGAGAAGTGTGGCCCATGTCTGTAGTTCCAGCTACTCAGGACTGAAGCAGGAAGATCCTTTGAACTGAGGACTTTGAGGCTGCAATGAGCTATGATGATGTCACTGCCTTCTAGCCTGGGATGACAGAGTGAGTGTCCTATCCCAAGAAAAAAGAAAAAGTTACAAAGTATATATTTTCATCTTGTAAATATTTATCACATGTAACATGGGAATTATTGGTAAGGTCAGTGATTTAGTGCTTACTATCTGTTTACTTAGGCAACCAGGACTCTGAAGCATCCTCCCTCACTGCCTAAAAGGCCAGAAACCTTAACTCCATGCTGAGCTGCTAATGAACTAATATTTTTTTCTCCTGTGTGATTTTAAGTTCCTGTGTGACAGTGATTCTCAACCTCTGGGTCACGACCACTTTTTAACAATGAAAATACATTGCAGCATTAGGAAGGTTGAGAACCACTGCACATTTCATTCATAGAGCTGGGATCCAAGCATCCCTGAAGTTTATGCAAGATTTTTTACTTTAAAGAGGTTAGCTGAGCTTATAATGTCCTCATCTGTTTTAAATGAAGTTCCAATGGAAGTGATTAAGGCCCGTATCAACTTAGGTGGTTTTAGTGGACAATACAGAGAACCCAAATCAAATTGGCTTGAGTAATAAAGGGTAGTGGCTCATTGTAGAAAAACTAGAGGAACATTAGGCTTCAGGCACAGTTTGATCAAGGCTTTAGCCATCTTTCCTCCATGTGTCAGCTTCACCTTCAGGCTTACTCTCTGATGATAGCAAAATGACTTCCAATCTAGTCCTTTCATGATGAAAACTTTAATTTCTTACAGAAAGAGTCCATATTTTAAAAATTATTTCCTATCTTTGTTACATAGGACAATATTTTAAACCTTCAGAATTAATTTCAGGTAAATAAAACATTTTCTATTAAGGAAGGGTAGCAAAATATTGGAATGGGTTACTAAAGGAAGTTAAAGACTGTTTCTCAGGGGAAAAGTGAAAAATAGAAGAGTTTGTTGACAATGGTAATCCATTGATATGTGGAAAAGATGTACCTGATTACTAGGGATGCCATTTATATTCTGCTTTACTTTACTGTGTTTTGCTTACAAAAGAGTAATTCTTAGAAAGCACTATTTGTGTTGATCTTTTATAGCATGAATATTTCCCATACAACAAATTGTGGCATAAATTTCTCTTAACTTTACTATGAATCAATCTAGGTACTTGATTTCAACTTTCAGGGAGGACATAGTCTAGTAGAGGTAGACATGTATGCAAATTAAGTGTGTCCAAAGGACAGTGGGTACTCTGATGGAAGTGTTTTTCAACCTAGAGTTCTTGGATCAGATTGATTCAGATCATATGAGGGTCCTTACTTAAAACTCTGGATTCTGGTCCCCAACCTTAGACCCAGTAAATCATCTTGGGGTGGGGCAAGGTGTGCAGGGATCTCATAAACAAGCCTTAGGTGAATCTTTGCACACTGAAATTCAACTACTGGCATAGAGTACAGTGAGGGCAGAAAATGAAGGGACTGACCAATGCTACCTTCGCAGGGGGTGGAGATCAAGAATGGTTTTATCATGAATTTGATGTTTGAGTTGGGCTTTAAAAATATGAGCTTGGATTCTAAAGGCAGGCATGTTTGGAGGTGGAGGGGCTTCCAGAAAGGTGAATAGGATGAGCGAAGGTAGTTGAGACAGAAAGAGCATCACTTACTCCTTGGAAGGCACATCACTCTCTCCCTTATTCCTGGGAAGGAGCTGGGGGAGGAGCAGGAAAATATATATCAAAATCTGGCTGCTTTTGTACACAAAGATGAACTTGTCATACATGTGACATGTTAATTGCAAGCCAGTGAGGCTCTGCTCCTCATCTTCCTTCTAGGACACAAGTAGGAGCCAGGTGAAGTAGAAGGGCTGCTCAGGCAGAGGGAGGGAGGAGAAAATGGCAGAGCCACACAGCAGCTGTTGACCTCTGCACATCTGTCACTTTTACTGTAAGTCTATTCGCCAACAGATATCACATGACACCAGTGGGGCTGGGACATATAATTTTACCATAGGGAAAACAGTAAATATGCATAATAATATGACAATCTCCCTTAGGTGGGAATTAGAAATCACTGAATTAAAGAAAGATGTGGCAAGGCACTGTGCTCACACCTATAACTCTAGCAGAGGCCAAGGTGGGAGGATCACTTAAGGTCAGGAGTTCTAGACCTGCCTGAGCAAGGGTGAAACCCCATCTCAACAAAATACAGAAACAAAGGCTAGGTGCAGTGGTTCATGCCTATAATCCTTGGCCTCTGGGAGTCCATGGCAGGTAGATCCCTTGAGCTCAGGAGTTTCCGACCAGTCTGAGCAAGAGTGAGACCCCGCATCTCTACTAAAACTATGAAAAATTAGCCAAGTGTTGTGGCAGGTGCTTGTAGCCCCAGCTCTTTGGGAGGCTGAGGCAGGAGGATCGCCTAAACCCAGAAGTTTGAGGTTGCTCTGAGCTAGGCTGATGCCACAGCACTCTAGCCTGGGCAAAAGAATGAGACTCTGTCTCAACATTAAAAAAAAAAAAAAAAGTTAGCTGGATTTGGTGGCACACACCTGTAGTCCTAGCTGCTCAGAAGACTGATGCAGGAGGATCACTTGAGCCCAGGAGTTTGAGGTTGCAGTGAGCTATGATGATACCATTGCACTTGGGCTGTGGTAATAGGGGGAGACAGGGTCTCCCAAAGTAAAAAAGGAAAGGTGTAAACTATCAAAAGAATTGAATGAGGAGTTCAACAATCTTTAAAGTTGTGTTTTGAGACTGTGATAATGGGATGTTTGATTCATTAATTATTTTTTTTTATCAGTTGTAGCTGTACCAATTAGCCCTAGCAAGCCAAGAAAAACAAAAGGTGTTTCCCAAAGCATGCTCCTTAGAACTCGCTGGTTCCAAGAGGTACTGTGGAAATAGGAATTCTATAAGTAAGTTTGGGAGACTTGGATTTTCTTTTTTTCTTTCTTTTTTTCCTTTTGAGACAGAGTCTCAAGCTGTCACCCTGGGTAGAGTGCCATTGTGTCATAGCTCACAGCAACCTCCATTCTTGGGCTTTTGCCTCAGTTTTTATTTTTCTTTCTATTTTTAGTAGAGATGGGGTCTCTCTTTTGCTCAGGCTAGTCTCCAACTCATGAGCTCAAGTAATCCACCTGCCTTGGCTTCCCAGAGTGCTAGAATTATAGGTGTGAGCCAGTGTGC